CCGCCCGGGCACGATTCGGGATGAAGCTACAGGACAGTTAAACGTCAGCAGCGGCGGGCAGAGGCAGCGCTGAGACCCTGAAGCGCTTCCGCTCCGGTCCGGTCCCCGCCCGGAGGTGACCCCAGGGCGCGGCGGCCCTCTGCTGACCGCCCGCTGCCCCTCAGCAGTGCGCTTCGACGATCTGCCTGGTCTGCCCCTCACCGCCCCGTGTGCACACGTAAATAAATCTCAAAAAAAAAAAACTGAACAGTGTGACGCCTTGGGGAGAGGAGCCCGCAGCCCGCGGAAGCGCCTGGGTAGCTCCTGCGCCAAGTCACTAAGCTGCTGCGGAGCTCCCCAGACACGACCCCACCCAGAGCTGAGGCAGCTTCGCCACCTCGGCTTTCCAGCCTGAAACGCTGCAGGGAGGACGCCGGAGCGAGCCCAGCGGAGAATCAAACCCGCTTTCCTGATCTCGGCGCGAGATCAAACAGACGCAGCAGCCCGGGACCAGCAGCCGCGCCCGCCGCCCCGGGGTCCCTGCTCCACGTCGCCCCGTCCCAAACGCATAATCAGCAAGCTCGGTGGGGGCAATTCACCGGGCGAAGTTCGCCACCTTCGCTCCCGCGTCCAACAGCAGCTCGGCCGGTGCCCCCGGGGCGGGGCGGGAACCCTGGGGCAGGGCGGCGGGACAGCGAGTCGCTCACGCCGGGGCCAGTGCCGGTGCGCTGGCCGGACGCCGCCCAGGCGGGAACAGCCAGCCTTGCAGAAAAGGAAACTGAGGCAGAGAAGCGGCGCTGCAGCCCAAGGGACCGGTCAGCCGCGGCGCCGCCCCCCAGCGCCCTCCCACGCGCCCGACGAGGTGTCCCGGAGCCCAAAGGCCCGCTGGCTGGCAGGAAGCCGCGTGGCGTGGCCGACCACTGTCCACCAAGGCTGGGCAGGAAGCCAGGGCAGGCGGCGACTCAGGAGCAGCAGGGCGGGAGGCCCCGCAGCCTGACCAGAGACGCTGCTGGGCAGAGTCGCTGGCGCGTGCTCTGGCGGCCGC